TCCAATTACTATATCATGGCACTAAGGGCCACATCCAATCTCTGCTTAAAAACCTCCAGGGATGGTGAATCCACCACCTCTCTGGGTAGGCTGTTCCAATGCTTGATTACCCTCTCTGTAAAGAATTTCTTCCTAACATCTAACCTAAACCTCCCCTGGCAGAGCATCACTTGCAGTGATGAGATAGTCACCCCTTCATAAGGGGGAGAGCAAAGGAGCCCTCTGTTTGTGTATAGGAACAGAGAGAGATGTTTCTCCTTCTTCTCCCAGAGGAAAGCTTTAGTGATTTTGGGCTGTACCTATTTATTTGGATATGTTGAGTAAGTTCTGCCCCTGCTCACTACTGAGTCAAGTCATCGTGCAGGGAGATGTGACAGGTAGCTTTTTGGGTGCTGGTATCTGTGTGAAAAATACTCTGCAAATATCTGCTCTTCTCTTGTCCCGTGCAGTGTGACGTCTTCTGAGAAGGTGGACAAAGCTCAACGTTACGCTGATTTCACGCTTCTCTCCATCCCATACCCAGGTACAGGAATGATGTCCAGAGGGAATCCCAAGGGACAGGTGACAATCCGTTTCTGAGGATTGGGAAATAAGTCTGTGTGTGTGGTGAAATGACTTTGGCTTGCTGAATGTTTCCTATGCTCTCTCTGGAGAGAAGCTCTTTTAAACTGAGAACAGGGCAATGATTCCAGATGCTCTGGCAGTGTGAGTCAGCATTAGACACTCTTTGAGGTGGCAAAATAATTTCTCAGCAGTTCTTATTAATTCAAGCACGGAGAAAAAGTCCCAGAGGTGGAGCCGGTTAAGGTGGCCTTTGACATCTCTGCAACAACAAAATACTACTTGATGCAAAATACATATCTTGTCCTGTGTTATGTAAAAACCCAATTCTTAAGGGTAATTTCTAGTCTAGTGTTCCAGAGCTCCACTGTAAGAAATCCTCAGTGCTAGGCAGAACAGTTCACCTGCGCCTGCAGTGTACGGCAGATGCAGCCCAATCCAGCCTGTCTCCCTGGCTATATCTGTCCCTGTGCCTAGCAACCACTGCTGGGTCACTTGCACTCTTACAGATGAACTGAATATTGCTGCCTGCCTGCTGATCTCAGGCTGAGCGATAGGATCGGATGCGAGGCTGCTGTGCTTGAGGTCTGTCTGCAGACTCTTCTTTGTGCATAAAGAAAGGGAGAGGAATAAAAAAACCAAAACCCAGCAAAACTGTTGTGGATGATCCAGACCACCCAAACTTTTCCTTGATTGCTTGTTGTTGCCCATAAACATTTTCTTTTTAAAGCTGTATTTCCTTTTATAGGGAAATGAGTGATGAGATTGATGTGCAGGTTGCCAAGGTATACAGAAAAAAGAGTATTCCTGGTTTCTGTAGTACATAGCACAGATATATGTTGCTGCTGCACACCTCACCAGACTTGGAACCTGAGAGAGACAGTGTACACTGGTCTTTTGTAGGGCTGTAAAGAATGAGGAAGAAGTGACTATAGAGTTAAGCTGCAGAGTTGTTACTGTATGAGGATCTGCATATGGTAAGCAATATTCAGATGGTCCTTCCTCTTCTGCCGTCTGGGACAGCTGCTTTTTTGTAGCAGCTCTTCACTGCCACACTGGAAGTAAACCTTATAAAACTGGAAATTCTCCCTGCAGATGTTGCCTGATTTCAGCAGTGCTCGTCCATGGGGGAATGTTGTCATTCTGTTAAATCTGAGGCATACACATCTAAGGATCAGCAACCCCTCTAGTGACTGGCCAAATACATTCTTACATATGTTTCCAGGGTTGCACTGGAAGAATTTCTGTTTTGTAATTTGTCTCTGAAGATATTCTGAGATCCTGTTGTCTTAGGTGAGTGAGGCAGTGTCCAGATAGAGAGAGAATCATACTGGTTGGAAAAGACGTTTAAGATCATTGAATCCAATTGCTAACACAGCACTTCCCAGACCACCACTAAACCATGTCCCTGAGCCCTAGGAAACACCACTGGTGACCAACCACGAACTGGATTTAACTCCATTCACCACCACTCTTGGGGCTTGGCCATCCAGTCACTTTTTTACCAAGCAAAGAGTAAGAACTGCCTGGAGTGAAAGACTTGCGTTAAAACGGCACATCTGTAGAAGCTTTTGGTGTTTATAGATGCCAGCACTTACTGCCGTAATCCCCCATTCTTTGCTTTAAGCCATTGTTTAATTGGAGTTAAAACTCAACTCACAGGCTGCGTCCTGACCGTGTTTCTGAGGATTAGTCCTGTCCTGGCACAAAGAGGGGTTTTTTTTGCCATTGGAGTTACTTGTGACTTGCAGGGTGGGAATCTCTGTCTGTGTTATGTGCCTGGCACAGGGATGTCGTGGTGCTGTGGCACTGCTGGGGCACACACAGCGCGCTGGCAGAGGTGTTTTGTGTAGCCTGCAGGCAGCCGCAGTGCTAATGGTGCTGCTCAGCTGTGACTAAGTGACTGCAGTTTGCAGCAGAGACTTCAAATGGTTGTTTGAGAAGAGCAGAGCCAAAGGACACAGTTCAGGAAGGAAGGGCTTGGGGGAAAGCTTGGAAGTGGTTATGTACCCTCTTCTTTCAGATGGGGCAAATTGTATGTTTGAGAGAGGAGACTCAAATGTGAGAGAAATCACAGCCACCTCTGACAGAACTCTTTCTTGTTGCCTGCAGCGGTGCCCTGTGAAAGTTGGCTTTCCTCAGGGCTCTGCCAACACCTTTTTCTACTGGTTCCTTCTCACTCAGCATGTCAAGCTGATGCCTTAGGTTAGTGCAAAAGTCCATGGCCCTGCAAAGATAGCTCCTTGGAGAAACCTCTTGTTTGGGAAAGAACAAAATCAGTCCCTCAGACTCCACGTTTGCTGTGTTTGGAGTTTGCCCTTTGCTGTGTAAGTGTCTGAACTGCTGAGTGCCCTGGGCTGTTGTTGCTGGAGGGAGTGCTGCGCACCGTACCGATGATTACTGCTCTTCTCTTCCCACAGGCAGCAGTTTTGATTGGTTTTGTGTTCTGGAGCCTGGGGCTGCCAGCACTTCCAGTCCCACATGGCACTTCACTTGTTAGATACCAGTTATCTGAACAGTTGTTCATTATCTCTTTTTCTTGCAGGCTGTGAATTTTTTAAGGACTACAAAGACCGGGATTATACAGCTGAAGGCCTCATATTTAACTGGAAACAGGTAAGTGGATGTTACAAAATGAAGAGCTGTGGGCTTTACTGGGCTTAAGTCTTGACTCAGAGTTTCTGAGCAATGGGGTATATGTCATGTGCTTATTTCTGATCGCAAGGAGGAAACCACCAGGAAAAACAAAATAGGTATTGAAATTATCTAAATGAAGATATGCTAGATTATTAATTGTAAAATTCATATGTAAAATAAATGAATCATTATCCTGAAGTCTATGGTGCTTCACCTCTCGTGGAAGGTATGGGTTGCTCCTGGTCTTGAATTTTGATATCTTATTGATAGCCTCTGTTCTCAGTTCCTTTTTTGTATTCTGTCTCCTACTGAGGAGATGGTTGAGTGGAGCAGCCCTACAGAAAATCAAAAACTAATATGCCTGACTTTCACCATTGGGAGCTCATAAAAGCTCCACTTGTCCATTAATCTTTCCAGGAGTCTTATGAGTTAATTATTACTTCTTCAGGTTTTTGCATCCAATGATGCTTTGCTGATATGTTTTCTTCTAACGCCAACCATTTGGCATTTGTTTTCTTGGTTTTTTACTGGAACTCACTCCAAGTCATGACTTTTCTCTGACCAATCCTGTTTGGTTTTTTTGCAGGACTATGTAGATGCTCCATTAAGTATCCCGGTCTCTCTGACCCAATCTCTGAATATTGATTGGAGCGAGTATCAGGTGAGCAAATGCCTCTGCAGGAGGTCAGAGATGTATTCAGGAAGGATCAGTAAAGATCTGAAGTCTAATTTGCTGCTATTACTGTAATCTGTCTCACTTCATACCATCCCAGTGGGGGCGAGGCTGCTCAGAATGGCAGTGGAAATCCTCCACCCAAAAGCTCTGTAAAGTCAAATCTCTTTCTGTAGCTTTTGAAAATTTGCAATCCTTTAGGGAGATAGGTTGGTAAGGAACACGACGCAACTTGTTCTCAGTCTCAGCTCTGCACTGGGCAGACTTCCTTGTCTGTGGGGAGTCTAGAGAGAGGTCGGCCTACCTTTGTGTGAGCAGAGCTGAGTGACTGCACGCCTTCCTCACGAGTGCAAGGTGCCTGTCCTATGGGAGAGGAGTAGAAAATCAGGTCTCCACTCCTGGTTACTGTGGCAGCATGGCAAATGGTAATTGAACTCCTATGTTTGCCCAAGCTTCGAGGTTTACCTCGGTTCACACCAGGGAGTATCACCTTATACTACTGATTAGTGCACTCCATTTCACACATCAGTGGACCTACCAGGTTTTGTGACGACTGACTGTGCTGGAAAGTGTCACATTGCTGTGCTCTGTGGCTGGAAGCACCACAGAACCAGCAGAGCTCCCCTTGCAGGGCCGGTGTTTGTTGTCAGTGATGTAAATACTGTTTAAGTGCCAGCATAAGCACAATCACAGAAAAATGCCTGGCAGTGTTGAAGCAGAACTAATAGAACCACAGCTTGTGTATGGCTAGAAGCTTGTTCACTAGAATACTGAGCAGCCAGTATTCTAAAAAGGATATTAAAAATTGAAGAGGGTGTCATAAATAGACACAGAAATTATTTGAGGACTGGAGAAGGTGCTTCAACTCAAAGCTGAAGTTCTCAGTCTGTTTAGCTAATCACTAAGGTGATGGAGGGTTGACTTGATTAATGTGTAAGTACATTTGCAGGGAGAAAATACTGTTTCTAAAGCACTCTTCAGTCTGGGGAGGAAGAGCTGAACAAGCAGCAATATCTGCAATCTGAAATCAGACCTTCAGATAAGGAAAAGCAGTCTTGCATGTTATTTTTGAAGATGATCTTCTGGAACATGCTGCCAAAGGAGTAATGAGCTGTCACCCCTAGCTGAGGTGCTTCTCTGGACAGAGATGTTGCCAAGTGCAAGCTTCAGGCTGTACTTGGGGCAACTGAATAAAACTTTCTAGTTTGTGGTATAGAGAGATCAGACTGGATAATTAAATGATTCCTTCTGACATAAGCACAAGATAAAATTGAACTGGGCAGATAAAAGACTTTCATCTTTTTCTGCCCCAGGCTGAATGTGTTCCCCATTTCCCTACTCTTTTGTGGCTCTGCAGGTTTCGTGGCAGAGCAGTATATTCTTTGTCTGACACTACTCTTCAGTGTGGTTACATGCACATGTGCACACATGCAAGCACACAACCAGTGTTCCATTGCTGGTGGTCAGATGTCCCTTGTACCACTAACATTTTTACCATGAAATGCATCCCTTCCTTGCCTTTTCCTTGCCAGTGCTGTCCTGTTTTCCTTGATCTAGTTCTGATTGATCAAACCACTGAAATTCCCTGCATCTTCTCATGACACAGTGGTCAAGTGACAAGCTTGGGCTTATTCTGATGTTTTACACCTGTATGTCTTGTAGTGCTGGAGGTCTCTGAGTTCACAGCCCTTCTGTGGTGCTGCTGCTACTTGGGGGTTACTGCAGAAGTCCAGTGCCTGTGGGAGAGGGTCAGTCCTCAGCCAGCAACCTGCTGGGGACATTATCAAGGGCCGAAGAGTTTTGAGCAAAGTGCTTGGGTTGTGGAACAGGCTGCAGACCTTGGCCTGCACACCCCATGATGCTGCTTGCATCCCATACACAGCTGTAACGTGGCTGAGCCACTTGGCGAAGTGAGCAGGGGGTGCAGAACTGGGTCGGTGCTCCACAGGTGTTTGCTGCCTCTGAGCATGGTCTGCTTGGAGCTCTGGGGCTGCAGACCAGCAGGTCCTGTGCCAACCGGGCAGACATTAGAGATGGCCTTTTGTTGTTTCATTTGCCTAGCTGGTATCTTGTCCCTGAGTGCCTTTAGCAGAGGATGGGATTGATACCAAGGGGAAGGTCTGTCACTCTGAGGAATGGCCATGTGGTTATTTCTGTTTCATTGCTGTTCTGGGTAGAGCAACTCTGAACTGCAGAGCAGCCTTTTGCTGTGGGCAGACCCTTACCCTCAGCATTTCTCTTTCTGCAGAGCTGGGACCTCGTACAACAGACACAGAACTACCTGAAGCTGCTGATCTCCATCATCAACAGTGATGGTAAGGCAAGCTCCTTGTTCCAAACAGTGTAGCTGGAGCAATCACTGTCCCTGGAAGAACAGCTGTTGGTGTTAGTGCCACTGTGGATCAGCTCCCAAATACAGAAGAGTCACTCTATAGAGAGCTTCTCTCCCTTCAGAATGGGGTGATGGTCCTACCATCTCAGGTCCAGCTCCCCTCTTAGAGAGGGACTTGTTGATTCCTTAAAAACTCTCTCCTCCCATGCACGAAGGGAACTCTGAAAACTTAACCTAATGTTTTACTACTTTAAACCTGAAGAGAAGAAACATTTGTTTCCTCTGCTTGTTGACTCTTGCTCTTGTTTTGCTGGACACCTGTGTTTTGTCCCCCCAGCACAGGGTCTCATTTGTTGCCTTTTCAAGTGCCCCTTCCTCTCTCTTTCATCGCAACCACCCCAACTTTTTGAAGAGTGTCTGTTACCCCATGTGGCATCCCATTCCCATTCCCTCCAGTGCTGATGTGGGGGTAGATTATGATATTGGGCTGCAACTTGGTAGATGTATGTTCTGGGTAGCAAAGTGATGTCCGTTGGTAATGTAGTCAAGTTCATTACTTGAGGAGAAGGTGTGCTTGTAGCATTGGTCTTACTTTTCTGGTCCTTTTGTACTGGGGAAAGTTTGTCATAGATAGAAACCGACCTGAATTACACTAATGACTTCGTGTCCTGAGCAGCTGTCAGGACCAGGACAGCACATCAGCTGGTGCTGCTGATAACCCAGGACACTCTGAGCAATTTGTTGGCTGCCGTATTCAAGACAGAATGTTCTGGCTTGGTGGCTGAGCTCTGCTCTTGAGCCTGGGCTGTGGGGACGGAGGGGAACTTGTCTCTACACATTTGCCATAAAAAAGACATTGCTCTCATTGCAACATCCTTTTTTTTTCTTTTCTCCTTTCTTCCCCCGTGTGGAACAGATGACAGCGGGCTCCTGGTGCACTGTATATCCGGCTGGGATCGAACTCCTCTCTTCATCTCCTTACTGCGCCTCTCCTTGTGGGCTGTGAGTACCTGGCTGACCTCCTCTGTTTCTGGGGGTGATTGCTTGGAGAATGAGTGACTGTCACCAGGAAGTGGTGGTGGAGCAGTTAGTGTTCCTAATGTTGCTTCAGACATGCTATCACAGGCTAGTGGAGGAAGCTGGGCATCTTGGATCACCATGACAGTGGTCATCAGATCCAGTCCTGCTGCTGCCTGAAGGCTGTTCTTGTTTGCTTTGCAGGATGGGTTGATCCACACGTCCCTGGAACCATCTGAGATTCTCTACCTGACAGTGGCCTATGACTGGTTTCTCTTTGGGTAGGCATGATCAGTTTTTCTCACGTGTGCGTCCCTGCACAGCAGGGGAGAGGCCTTCAGAGATCCTCTTTGGTGTTTGTTCGCAACCAAAGGTGGATGTTTGGGCATTTCCCTGTGAACTGGGACAAGAAGGGCTGATGCCTTTTTTTTACCTGAGGTGTCAGGCCATCCTTGGCAGGTTGTACTTCTGCTGATTCTGGTGTGAGACTGAGCTTCCCTTGCTCTCTTTCCAGGCACATGTTAGTTGATCGACTCAGTAAAGGAGAAGAGGTGAGTATCCCATCTGGGGCAGTGACTGAGCACTGCTTTGTGTTCTCAGGATACTTGTTTACGGTAGCACCATTCACTCCCTGCCTCTAGTAATATCAGTGTTTGGGCTTTAAAAAGATTGTTCAGGTGCTGGAGATACGAGGTAGGAGCCTTGCCCCATCACTTTCTGGTGCATAAGGTGTGGGGCTGCTTTTCTCTCAGGCTACACTTCTGTTGGAGGTGTCAGTCCTGCCAGTTTCCCTGCTGTGCCATTACTGTTCAGGCCCCAGGTGAAAGGGTGCTAGGACTTGCTGTTCAGCTCAGCAATGAGAAGGATGCTTAAGGTGTGTGACTCTTGGGAGCTTGGATAGCCTTGTGTGCTTGTCCTGAGTGCCAGCCCTCCTGCCTGGGTGCTGTAGCTGCATGTGGCTGGCATGTCATCATGGGCTCATGGAGCAGCTTGTGGTGGTTCCAGTGTAGGTATTTGGTGGGGTGTGTCTTTGGGTGCACAGATGGGTCTGGGAGGCAGTTAAGATTAGCTGAACTAATTCTCTTCAAATCTTTTACTGTCTAACAGCAAAAAAAGATTGTTCTGACTGTGGTTGCAGTATAGTGCAGTATCGTTTTTGGACAGAGATCAAGAGATGGGGAGTGTCTAATCCTGCTGCTAATCCCCTGCTCCTCAAACTCTCACCTCACCAGGGAATCCCCTTCCTTCGAACGAGAGAGCCAAGACCCTGGCCTATTTTCCATCTTTCAGGGGCCCTAGATTAGTATCATTCCTCCCATTCATTCCTTTCCTGGAGTTCTGCTGGCTCAAGACTGGCAGCTCTGCTCTGGTGCCTGCTTGACCATGGGTGGAGTCAGTAGCTGCAGCAGGAGAGGGGATGTCTGGCTGCCTGTAGCACTCCCTGCTCCCCATTTCTCCCAGGAGAAGGGCACAGCTCTGCACGGCTCAGTGCAGGGGTGGCTGAGGCACAGCAGGGTGAGTGATGCAGAGCAGACTGGAGCATGGCAGGGCACAAGGTTGGGGCCACAGGCGCTGCAGGTACCTCGTGCTTCCAGATGTGGCACAGCTGTGGTGCCAACCGGGGAGCATGGAGCTCCAACCCTGCAAGTCCTGCTGGGTTTGCTGCTTGCCTGGGTGTATAAGCAGTTGCTGGAGGCCATCTCTTTCCCATTCTGCAGGGATGGCATAAGTACCTGCCATGTGCTTTGTGGCATGTGTGCAAGGCACTGATAAGGAGATGACTTGTACACACCTTCCTTTCTGGGCCTCCCCGTGGCAGGGAGCAGAGAGTCAGCTTAACACGGAAGAGAAGGCCCAGGATGGGATGGTGTCAGCCCTTGGCACATCGGAGGCTGGTAGCTGCAGATTTTTTGCTATCTCCTTCCTGCCAGCACCTCCCCACCAAGATAAGAGGCTGCATGGAGCCTGGGGTTCATTTCTGAACCGCTCTTCTCTCTCCCTTTGCTCAGATTTTCTTTTTCTGCTTCAATTTTCTGAAGCACATCACCTCTGAGGAGTTCTCTGCTCTGAAGTCACAGAGGTAAGGAGCCTGTGCTTGCTGCTGCATGGGCTACAGAGCCAGGGAGCTTGTTAGTGCTGTTTCTTTGGGGAGATAGAAGCCCTGGTGTCCTGGCCCAGTTTTCTTTAATTTATTCTGCACTCTTAAGGCTGCAAAATGGGGCCGAGGCTTGTGAGGTGCCACGTTGTGCTCTGAAAAACTGTCCATGCTGAAATGTGCTCTGCTTAATGACTGTCCGTGGCTGCTTTAGCACAGATGAGCCCAGAGATGTGCGCTCTGGCTCGAGCAGTCTGTGCAGTGAGCTCCATCAGGCACTGCTGAGGGGAGAGGAGTGGCTGGGTTTTAACAGACTTCTCAGCATAAACCCCTTCTTATTTCAGGAGGGGCACAAGGAAACAAAGCCCACCCTGGAAGCTCTGAATAAGCGCATGTTGTGTGCAGGTTGCCTGTTGCCACCTTCTCAAAGCATAGGGTGTGTGAGTTGGGACTGTTGGAAGTCAAATACTGCACACTGGCCCATCCCCTCTGCCCCTGCACATCTCATTCCCCACTGCTCTGATCAGCTGTGTGTGACAGAGACCTGGCAGCCTCCATGCAGTCCTGAAGTGTAGCTGAGGTAACTTTGTCTTTCCTTCCCCAGAAGGAAGAGTTTGCCACCTGGCTTCACCCTGGAAGAGATCTGCATGCTCAGTGAGTGCTGCTGCCAAGCATCAGTGCCCCTGAGGGTGGCAATGGTTGATTGCTTGAAGGCTTGGGTTCCCAACACCCCTAAATGGGTGTGCTTCCCTTAGGGCCTCATGAGAACACAGCCCCAAGGGCACGTGGATTGCCTAAAGGGAGAGAAAGTGAGACCAAGCTGGCCTTCAGGTAGCTCTGTTTTGGTTTTTTTTCTAGAGCAGAAAGACCGAGGCAGCACCACAAGTCTGAGCAGTGACTTCTCCCTGGGGATGGAGAGTTCCCCTGGAGCAGCTGGGAGCTTCACCTACGAAGCAGTGGAGCTGATGCCAGCAGGAGCACAGGCTCAAGCAGCATGGTGAGCATATAACCGCTCGGTGGGCTGCCAAGCAAAAGGAGCAGGCTCTGGGCACAGTACAAAAGATACTTCTGAAATGTCTTGCCCTCCAAATCTGCTCTCTGTTGCATGCGTTTCTTAGAGTGGAGGGAGGAATTTTGGCTGTCAGAGGCTTTGCTGCAACTTGTACTACAGAGATTCTGCACCAAAAATTAGAGACCGTGTTAAAGGCTGTCAGCAGGGATGCTTCTCTGTCCACTGATGAAAGTAAAGCAGCTTTGCTTCATTTTCACCAATTTCACTGTTAAAACTTCATCCAGAAAGGACTTTGCTACTTTTGAAAGATGGTTCCAAACTACCAGAAAAATTACATTTGTCAGCAGCTTCCCCAGGGAAAAGCGGAGACAGTTTAGCTGCCCTAAAATGAAGCTTAATCAGTTTATGAAAGGGGAGTGTCTGCAGTTAGTGGTAGGTAGGCTGGGTAGCCAAGAATCCCCTTCAAGCTTTAGCCCCTCTAACAACATGAGGTGTGTGAGCTGAAAGCAGGTTCCTGCCCGCAGCACTGCTTAGAGGTACTTCTGTGGGAGAATATGAAATTCTCAGTGCTCCCTGTTGATAAAGGGTCACCTAGAACTTGCCTGGGGATGCTGGTGGCTGTCTGGAAGTGGGGAAGGTGTCTGGCAACTCTGCTGCTCTGGGACAGGTGTTTTACTTGCTTCTGGAGTTTCTGGTGCTGTTTGGGGATTTCAGAACCTTGCTGTAGGGTTGCCCCTCTCAGTTTAATTTTTCTCTCCTCTCCCTTAGCACATGTGAAGACTATTTTATATTGCAATTATTTTAAATTAAATCTGGGTTGTGCTGGAGGCAGTTGAAGTCCTCTGGGACTGAGCCTGCAGCCATGCTAGTGGCAGAAGCCTCTCTAAAGCACATTATGATTCTGTAATTTAACGTGCTGAAGAGAGGAAGAATCTTGCTGCAGAATCACAAAATGGAGATGGGGAGTCCCAAAATGTTTGCCAGATGAGCACAGCATCCTCTAACACACAGGGCCTACCTATCCACAGCAAAGTGACTGCAGCAAGTAGAGAACAACTTCCCACTTTCAGGGCTGCAGGGTAGTGAAACGGAAGCGTTTATGTTGCTCTGAGTGCTCAGGACATACAGACTCGACTCTGCTGCACAGGACTTAAGCATGATTTTCACAATACGTGAAGTGGCCAGAGCGTGCTGGAAGAGATCTGTTGCACTCATGTGGATCAGGGCTTGATTTTGTGATGTGTTTTCTAACTCTGGTTTGCATTCATTTCTGTGGGAGACATCAGGCTGTGTTGTGTCTGCTGCCCCACGGGGGATTTGAGCTGTGCTGCTGTGGGGCAAGAGCTTGGGAAGGGGGAAGGTTGTGAACGTTGCCGTGAGTGCTCAGTGAGGGGACTGGTCATGGATGTCTGCTGCAGGCTGTTGTGGTCGTGCAGGCTGGAGAATATGCAGGGCTGGACAAGCTGGGCTGTGCAGAGCATGAGCCAGGGAGAGGAGGGGATGTGCTTTCTTGAGTTGCCCTGAAAACAGGTGCCCTCGAGGTCTCTATGCAAGGAGAGACATTTGATTTTTAGCTGTACAAACCTGTTTCATCAGGCTGTGCTTAGAGATGTTGGCAGCTATGATAACATGAGATGAATAAAGCTTGAGAGAGGCTGTGGTGTGATGTTTGAGGGTGGACACCCTTCAAGAAATGAAGGGAAGATATTGCACTTTCCACTGTACAATGAGCCTGTCTTTAGCTGCACTTGGTGACAGTGCTCAAGATCTCAGTCGAAGCTGCAAGATGCCTTTCCATGTTTCAGGAAGAATAACATCTTTTCTCCTTGGGTTCATTTGCTTTAGGCTTTTCTTCTTCACTTGTGTACATAGGAAGGTCTTTGTCCAATTCAGTGTGTTCTTGGAAAGAGAAATATTCTTGAGACTCTTCCAGGAAGAAAACAAACAAACAGCTGATGTAAGAAAGAAAATCTGCTGAACACAAAGTAGCACTGATGTGAATTAGTCACATTAGTGTTTGACGTGTAGCTGGATGGTACTGTGAGCTAAGGCCCAGCGCAGCACCAAACAGTGAATCATGACCAAGTCTGAATGTGCTGGCTAGGAAAGCAGCCAGAGCAGTTCTGGGCTGTCAGCACAGGCAAGGAGAGGACTGAAGTGCACCTACGTGTGGAGTACTGTCAGCTCTGCGCACGTGGCCAGAAGTGTGGTCAGTGGTGCCTGAAGGGAATCGCTAAAAGGCAAAACAACCCTGGTGGTGTGTCCCTGTCGCCCTCGGTGCGCACGAATGCCCACCTGGGCCGATACGCTCCGTGGAGCTGGAGCAGATTGAAATGGTCTTTCCCCGCTGGGAGGCCCCTTGCTCGAGGCATTTTTACTGCTAGACTAAACAAAGCAATCGCTGTGTGTGTGTGGGCTGGTGCATTCTCCCATCTCTGATTTCCAGGTCACGTGGATGGTGATCTAGAAAAGAATGGGCTAAGATGGGCTGAGCTCAGTGTACCCCCCTCACTGAGTGGGGTGAATCATGGTTCCTTGAGAGGGAGGAGGGCGGGTCCAGTGGGAACAAGAGCCCGTAGCTGTTAGCTGCTGGGGTAAAATCCAGCCTGTGGTAGAAAGGCTTCCTGGCTGGAGTACATAGAAAAGCCAGCTTCTCACCCATGTCTTCCATCCCACAGGAGGAAAAGCTGTGCATCATCACCACAGGCTGTACTCTGGAGCAGGGCACAGCAGTCTGAAGACAGGCTGCCTTCCACAGGGGTGGTTGAAGTCAAGTCCTCCAGCTCCTCCTCATCAACCCATTCTGATAACTTCCTGAGGATTGGAAGCAGCCCATTAGAAGTGCCCAGATCCAGGTGAGATGGGACAGAAGAGAGTATTTCTCAACAAAATAAGTGTCTCATAAAGGGAGTGCAGGGCTGCACTTGTGTGGCTCTGGGAACACTGGAGCACATGTGTTTGTGTCTACAAACAAGCCTCAGGAGGCCTGTTCCTCTCTATCCTTGTCTGGATTGCTGGCCATTAAATACAGACACTCCTGCCTCAGCCCCTGGAGGACCGAGGAGCTGTGCCGGTAACAGCCAGCTGTCTGTTCTGCCTGTCCTCAGCGCATGCCTCAACTCCATGAGCTCTGGCATCTCTGCATCCTGCATGCTTGGAGCTCACAGCACTTTCTCCAACGTACTCACTGGGGTTTGAAATGGCTGTGGTGTTTGGGGAAGGAAGCTTTTCAAACCAAGCAGACCTCACTCTGCATCTAACCTGTCCCTCCTTCCACCTGCTAACCCTCCTGACACTGCAGGTTGGGAAAAACTCTGGGTGCTGGTGGCAAGCAGAGGTAGGAGTCTGTTGGGAGCAAGCTGCGAGTGCCACGCCGGCACAAAGGATTCCACCTGGAAGGCTGTGTGTTCCTGCTGGGCAGCTGGGGAATGGGGACCCTGGACCTGAGCCTAATCTCATGCTATAACAAAGGATATTCTGGCACCCTTCCGGAGACTGATGCTGCGATAGGGCAAAGTCGAGCAGTGAGCTAGGCTAGGGAAGAAAGAGCAGAGCCTGTGGAGCAAACACCATGTGTTTAGGCCAACAGGGAATAAAGAGGCTCTTAGATAAGAGGTTGCTGTTAACAGCGTCAAATGCCCGTGTAGTCTCTGCAGGTTTTCAGATGAGTCTTTTTCTAGTGATTCCGAAACAGCCATCAGCCAAATTTTAGGGCTGTCTCATCATATGGAAAATAAAATGACAAACAAGTAAAGCATTGAAAATTTATGAGACTTTCTTAACTAGTTTCTTGATTTCAGAGGAAAACCAGTGTCTGACGGTTTTCATAAATGATGCTAACTGTTCTCCCCGGGGAAAGACAGGGATAAGGAGGGGTTTGAGTTGTTGCTGGGGTCCACTTCTACATTCTCTGTAAGATGAAGTGAATCTCCCAGGAATAGAATAAAATAACTGGAAAGAAAACAGCTTATCTTGGGAGCTGCTTTGTTCACGATGGTAGTGCCGCAGTTCCTGTCTCATGCCATTCCCAAGGCCTGACAGGCTGTTCAGGGCTGGTGGCAAGCTTGCAGCAGTGCTCTGGAAGAAGCAGTTTATGATGCTTCAGCCACTCTCTGCTCTGCAAGAGCAAAGAGGAGAAACAGAGGAGGCAGAAGAGCACCATGGGAGGGGTTAGGGTTGCCTTGTCAGACACTGACACAGGTTACACCTTTTGGGGCATGAGCATGGTTATGTTTTCTCCAGAGAGAGAGACTCTTACTCCACTTGGCTTTGGTCTCCCTGCTTAGACTATGTTAGTCTGAATTAGTCTGGTGAGCTCCATGCAGGTAATGGATATCACAGTACCTTCAGTCATCATTTTCCACCCTGAAGGAAAGAATGAGTCCCATTTTGGGTGGAGAAGGAGTGTATCTGTGATGGAAAGAAGAGGTAAATTCTGTCCCTCACCTCCTGAAAAATGGTGGGACTAAGATGAAAAAGCAGGAGCACAAAGATTGATCAGGATGCCAAAAATACCTTTATCCCTGCAGTGCTGCTCGCACTTAACACCCAAGGCTCTTAAGATGAAGAAACTACTGTACTTGACTTCCTGATCCTCTGTTTGTGTGGCCATAGCAACAAAACACTTTTCTCAACTGCTGCTGCAGTGGTTAAAATGGTCGCTTGTAACATGCCAGCAGGCAGCCTTCAGGTAGTTCAGGTCAACAGCCCAGTTCAGGTGCTGGCAGGCAGGGGAGCTCTGGAGGGAACAGGAAGGCAGGACAGGTGAGTAGGGCCTGGGAGGGGAACTAGGCTGTCCTAAAAGAAGTGTTTACGAAAGTCCAATCCGACAGTGGGAGCCAAGTCCCACTCCTGACCAGGATGGCCTCACAGTTAGCAGGCTGCTGCTGCTGTCACCTCACCAGCCCATCTTGTGCATTCTTCTCTGATCCAGAGGTCATGGGTACCTTTAAATCCCAGGATGGTTCTTGTTAGGCAAAGCAATACAAAGACAAATTCCTGACAGTCTTTCTGGCTTTTTCCAATGTTATGGTAAGATCACATCTGCTGAGGACAAACATGCAGGAAGATACTGTGCAGACTATTTGCAGAGTAGGACAAGATGCTGCTAGTTCTACAGACAGAGAGCTCCAAGTATGGCAGACAGCTTGTCTTTAATCAAACCCGAGGGGGTAACAGCTTGCAAACCATGTCCTATGTTTGCATTTGACACAGTCTGAGTGTCCCATGACACTGCAGAAAAAATCTGTATCTGTGTCAGGGATTTAGCGTGTGCGTACATGGCACTAATGTGGATTAGCAGCTGGATAATCTTTGGTTGAATGTGCTTTTGCTAAGTCAATTAAACAAAACCCAAAGTCCTTTGATCTGGAGAGTCAAGATTTGCAGGAGTTAAATTGCAGAGGATCTGCTTTGACCAACAGCCACAGAGAACTCCCTTATTTTATTTAAGGTCTGCAGATGGCTCACCTGTGGGTCTGGAAGTCCAGTGAGAACAGAGCGAGACAGAGAAGCTGCTGCCCCTTGACTTTGGGTGTTTTGTTAGTGAGAAGACTACATGTCTTGTTCCTTACAGCCACCTTGCTCAGAAGGTTTATCTGTGATGTGACAGGTTGGGATAGTAACCACAGCAGGAGAGGAATTGTTTACAGGAATGTTTTCTGTAATTATTGCACGACTGCATCACAAAATGGGCTTGCCGGCTGGCACATGACGTTCTGCAGTCAGAAATGGTTGTGCTCGCAGAGGACGGGCTGCTCGGGCACTATCAGCCTGTAGATAACTGCTTGGGATCCAGCCAGGGCTCTCAGTACTTGGCAGAGAGCCATACTCCTTGCCAGAATTTCCCACGCAAAGGTGGGAAAGGCTGCCCTTTACTCCAGGTTGCCACAGTCTGCCTGCGCGTACAGAACCTTCTTAACGCTTCGGTTTGAGGCACACAACATATGCTGGCAAATGAGCTGCTTCCCAAATAGTCCTAGGTGTGTAGAAATACATCAGGTGAGCGGGGGCAGCACGGGGCAGGATGGGAGCCTTGCTGTTGGCACCCATCTCAGTGACGTATTAAGAAAGAGAAGGATCCCTGAATGTTGCTCTGCCTCCAGTGTTGCCTCTCCTCTGGCAGGCGAGCGTCCATGTGCTCTGAAATGCTCTGCCTTGTGCAGCATGTTGCATGGGAAGCACTGACCTAATTAAAAGGAACCATTCCAGGCTAGGAGCTGCCAGTTTATGGCCTGCGAGAGGTCCTTCCTTGTGTGAAGGAACAGCTTGCAGCTCATGTCTGTTTTGCTAATTTAATTTTGTTAATCTTGCACTTTTGAGGGAGTTTCTTCCCACTCATGGACCTGAAGAGGTGGGTGTGTGAAGCTCACTTTGATTCTTTTTCTGTCTGCCATTAGATGTCTGTGGCAGAGACAGTGACTTGAAGACATGCTGTATCTCATCTCCTCCTGACATCCATGTCAGCTTTGCTGTCATTGTCCTGCTGCTTCCCCAGAGCCTCAGTGCTGCCCTCACAGCTAGCCAGCCTCTGCCATGGCTGTCAAATGTTGCACACATGTTGTTCTTACAGACCTGGGGTCTGGTCCTGGTGTCCCAGCAGCTCCAGTTTGCTCCAAAAGCCTCTGCAGTGAGACTTTCCAAGGAGCCTTCAGGGTAGAAATAACAGGAAGACTTTCATCTCTAGCACTGACTGGGGTGCAGTCACCCCAGAGATCTGGTCTTGGTCTCAGGCCAAGCTCAGCTTTTAAGAAGCTCTGCTGCCCTTGCAGTGCAAACACAAGATTTCCCATGCTCTGCCTTCTCAGCCTTGGTCTCTCCTGTCTCTCAGGGCTGTTCGAGATGTTTGTTGGTTGTGACACTTCCTCAGGAGCCTCCCTGGAGAAGACTTTGGGAATAAAGGGGAAAGTCTGCCACGATATCTTAGCTCTGCTGGCTAGGCTCAGATCTCTGTGCTGGGAGGGAGGTGACCTAGACTCATTGCAGAGTCAATCAGTGTATTCAGTTAATTGACAAGTGTTTATTCTGCTGCCTGGAAGCAAGACAAGGAATTGACTGCCTTGAACTCCTAGACCCCAGTGTTGTTAGGTCAGATGTAACCTTACTAAGCTTGCACAGCTGCTTGACAGGGTTAGGGACCCCAGCCAGGGCTGGAGGGCTAGAGAGTCACTGAGAGTCAGTCTTGTAGGAGGTACATGATGCTTTTATCAGCCTGTTCAAGACAGGATTCAAAAGATGACTTGATCTACCTCCAAGATGTGGTGTAAGATCAGTCTAATCTTAGCTGACAACCATGGAGGGTGACCAGCAGCTGGAGGCTAAGACCACACACCCAAACCAGGAAACAATTTTCTGTTCACCTTCTTTAGCACAGAGTTACCTGACTGGTGTGGTTGTTGATATTGGGCAGAGGGACACTTTTACTGTCCCTGGTGCCCTGGATCATGACTTCCCATGTATGCACAGTCTCCTGGGCAGGCTCTGGAAACTATTCTCCTTTGCAAGAGCTGCAGAGCTCTGCTCAGTTCTTTTCACCTTCATCTGGAGGTCCTGGTGCAGCCCAGGCCCTCCTCTGCCATTCAGACTCACTCCCTCCAGAACCTTTGTTTCTGCCTGGCTACAAACCTATCCTCTGTTCAGCACTCATTAGTTTTCTAGCAGAATCCTGTCCTTGCCTGCTTTCAGCCTGAGCCCATTGCCTTTGGACTCTTCACTGCTTTAGCTCAATTTCTTGTCACTGCATATGACATCCTCATTTTTCTTGTCTGGCTGTGCTGTACTCTCAGGGAGGTGACATCCTCCCCTTCCCTCTGCACTGAAGCAGTATTCCTCCATGCTTCTCCCTGGCTTCCTGCACTGTTCCCAGCATGGCACCATGCTCTTGGCCCAAATGCTCTGCCTGCTCTCCTTCTCACTGACTTCCTCCACTTTATCTTCCAAAGGCAGGAAGAGGTGTAGATGTCACTGAAGAGCTGCTCCCCTTCCCTTACAAATTCCTTTCTTTCCAGGGAATGTTATCCCTGTCTGATCTTCACAAGGTCTTCCTAAGAGTGTATGCTGCACTTTTGCTTTCAGTGAAGTGCCCTCACTCTTACTTTGGCATTATGTACCCAGGAAAGACACCTTTTTGCAAGAAGGGGTTCTCCCAGTACTCTGACCCTCACTCCTTGGTTCACTGAGCAGCCAAAGAACAAGAACAGGTGAAGCTCTGCCCTTCCTGATTTCTGCTGTGATGCCCTTCCAGAGCTTCAGCTGCCAGACACAGGTGTTACCCCCAGACTGCAGCTGTGATGGGAAGCTGACATGCAGCTGTGTGACTCCCCTTCTCTGCTTGCACAGCCAGCTTAGGACCGTGTTTCAGACTGCTCAAACTTGGCTGTATTGATCAGACCAGTTAAATGGCAGGCCTGGAATTAGATCGGGGTTGCAAATAGGTTTCCTGCTGTGCATCTCTTCCCACCATTGCCTTCCAGTCTTGCTCAGGTCCTTCTTGCTGTGGGAGGTCCTGTCTTCCTGGCTGTTCTCCTGGTCCCTTGGGGAGCAGCTGCAGTGCGCCACTGCTATTCTTAGCTGTGAAGACAGCGTGCAAGTACCTGGCCCAGCAGAGCTGGAGCTGGTGCACTGCTCTCTGCCCAGCAGAACTCAGATAAATTATCCAGAAGATCTTGGTAGTGTGTAATTGAGCAGCTCTGCCACAGGCTGTGCTTCCAGCTATGTACACTCTGCTGTGCAGCAAGGCACAGTAATTGCTTGCTCCCTTGGAGGCCAAGAGCTCTGGGTTTGTCTCAAGTGACTGTGCCCTCTTCTCCAAGATTTTGGAGGGACGCCTCGAATTTACTTACCATGTTTCATGCTTCCTTCTTTCCTGGTGGGAGGTTGCGTACATCAAACAATTATCCTCCCTTGGCTGTTTATCCTATCTTAAGGATGTTTTGTCACCTGGTTTCCGGCACAGTCCGTCCTTCTAACACAAGAATAAAAAGTTCAGGGGCTGGAGGGAGGTGCCCTGGGGGTGTCTTGAGCGTTGCTCTGTTAAGATTTGGTGGGAATGCCTCAAGAGTGATCTGCTTTGTAACTGCTGCTGGTACGAGGATCTCTAAGTCTTTCTCAGCACTAACCAAGTCACAACCTTCATTCACTGTTCTACGCTGGGATGTGCTAACAAGCAACAGGGGAATGCGCCTTGTACAGCACAACATCCACATTCAGGGCAAGATGTGCTGTTGCATCTCACTAACAGGTTTCTCAGTTCTGCATGGCCATCTGCTTCTTGCTGGCTGCCTCCTGTCCGGCTCCCGGTGTGCTCCTGCTGCTTTGTCGGCCCCAGCCAGCTTGGCTCTGCCCTCGCTTTCAAAGGAAAGGCTTGGCCTGGGGCCCAGCCAGAGCTGCTTGTTGCACCCTGGGCCCCGAGTGTCAACGCTGCTGGCACAGGCGCTGCTGGCCGTCCGCCCGGCAGGTCCCTGGCACCAGCGCCCGTGAGAGGCATGTGGCTGATGACCTGACTGATCGCGCCGTCTCCCTCTCTCTCTGCCCCAGATCAGCGGACCATTCTCTGCCCGGATCTTCCGTTTCCACAGACTTTGGCAGCTGGCAGATGGTGACAGGGTGTGGCAGTATTCGGGAGCAGGCAATCCTGAGCGCAGACGCCTCTCTCCCTTGCAGCTTCCCGGATGAGTTCCCTAGCACTTGCCTGTAAGTGTCTCAAATGCAGGATCTCTCCTTGGGTCCCTTGGCTGGCTGCGAGCACTGGAACTTTATCACCCTGGCACTTTCAGGGAAGCCTGGGAGCTCATAACAAACTGTTCCGTCTTCTCTGCCTTGATGTTTTCCATCCGCAAACTCAGTCCCTGAGCACTCTTTACTTATGCTGAACACGGAAAGAAGCTGTCACTTTCTCTGCCTAATGATGGGGGAGCACTTTGCTTTCTGTAGGAAGAAGAGGCTTTTCTCTCTTCCCCGAAGATGCTGAATTTGGGCATGATAGTGCGCATTCGAGGATGCATGCTTGTCAGGACAGGACTGGTAACCCAGATTTTCTTGCTTTTTGGATTTTGCTCACCTACATTTCCCCACTGGAGTCAGATCCTTGCTTCTGTAAGAGAAGGGCTTTCCTTCTGTAATCCTGGTTTTGTCTGGCCTTGTGCAGCATCATTTGCAGGTGCTACATCTGGCCAGTGCAGAGCCACAGAGACCCTGCATCCTGCCACATCCTGCCACGTAAAATGGCTGGGAGGCAAATGTTCCTCCCCAAATAGAAAGTCACCTCTGGATGCTTGAAAGACTGGAGATGTGCTTTAATTGCCATTAGAGGAGAACTTTGGCTTGTGCCTTCAGGCTGCAAACTCTCCATCAAGAAGCTGGAATGGCAGACCAGGGGCTGCTGCTAGCAAGCAGTGCAAGAGCTGTGCTGCCAGACGCTCGGTCCCTGACCGAGATCTGCATATGTGCTTTGGAGGCAGAGGGCAAGAGACGTGAAACCCAACATCTCCTGTGAGACAGGCTGGCTGCCCTGGCTTGCTGTCTCATGGGGCTGCGTGCTGTGCTGCTGAACAGAGCAGAGCAGCTGCCCTCAAGTTACGGTGAAGCTACAAGACCCATGAATTGACAGATCAAAAAATCACAAGAGATGTCGGACATTGCCTGGCTGGGATTTCTGCTCCTCCTTTCCTGAGGACATGCTGAGCTGCTCCTGCAGTTGTTTTGGGATGGGCGAGGGAGCAGAAGGCATCTAAATAGTGACTACTTTACTATGCTGCAAACCTGGCTGTGCTTGGCTGCTGAACACCAGCAAGTTGTTGCTGCCCTTGGAGTTGGATCCAACGTCAGAGTAGGGAATTTGGTAGAGAAACATGGATCAAAGTTGAGAGGCCTTAGGCTCACGCACTTTGGAGGGTGGCTGCTCAGGGAAGCAGGTCCAAAGGGAGGGGAACAGGGGTGGTGCTTCTGCTGTGGGGTGCTTGGGGTCTGGGGACCACTCAACCACGGGTGCTGGAACCAGCCACCGTGTGGAAAGGATGAGTAGTTCCCAGGGATGTTGTGTTGAGCTTGCCCTGACGCCTGCACCCTCCTTCTGCTCTGCATCAGCCCTGTTTGCTCAGGACCCCATTGTGGTTTTATCCCATTTTTTCTCAGCCTGGCACAGTTGATTTTTTTAAAAATTCCATTTAAGTTCCCACTTTGCATCTCCACTGGCAGCAGCTCGATGAAGGTACGCTTTTCACAGCCTACTTCTTGTGCTTGTGTGGGGCTTGTCAGGGCTTACTTCGAGCTGGGGCTTTGACAGCCTCCTCTCATGCTGCACCCCAAGCTGCAGGCGAGCGGGCAGGCTGTAGGAAGTGTAGCGGGGCAGAGTGCCGTGGATTTGGCAGGGAAGCGCAACCTGCCTCCGCAGGGAACTGCTCGGGGTGACACGGTGCAGCCGGGTCTGCAGGGTTTGGTGTGGAGCAGTGGCCAGCTGCTTGACCCAGTGCCTTGGAGTGTGTCACTGCTTGAAAGAAACCCAAAAATCCAAACACAAAATGTGCCCTGTAAAGAAGTGTGAGAGCCACAAGCCACGGGACCTAACTGCTGCACACCCTCGCTTACCTCTGCGCGTGACATCTAAGATCACTGCACTCTGGTGCAAGTAAGTCCTGCCTTCATGGAGCTTATTTTTAATGCTAGCAGGTTTTCAAGTTCCACGTCCTAATTAGGTTGCCAAAAAGCATCTTTTTAATGTGTTTAGATATGTTGTTGCCTTTTTTTTTGCCCTCTGGCTTCTCTTTATTATCAGACACAGTAAACAGCGGCCTGGTTGGCTGCCTCAGCTTTGCTTGCTGTTTATAGGCCTCCCACCATATCCTCTTGCTGCTGTTTCCGGACCGAAGCTGTTGGCTGTGGGTGGTTAACACTTCCATTCAGATGAGCTGTGCCAATTTATAGCCAGCCCAGGCGCTGGAGAGATTAAAGAGAATTTTTTATGGGGAAGGTTCGTACTGTGCCCTTGGAGTGACCTTTGAGGAATGTCTTAATCTCTCTGGGAACCACTGGCATGTCGCAGAGGCACCACAGCAAGGACTGTTTTAGGCCAGAGCGCTTGAATAGCTGCCTCTGAGCCCCAGCCTTGCTTTCCCCTGCTCCCTCAGCTGAAATTTTGTCTTCCCTCTGCTGTCTTCCCCCTACCCCTAACCAGGTGTGTGGATCAGCTGGAGAGGAGAGCAGGTCCCGTGGGAAGCCATGCCCTACTCTGCTCCTGCTTGCTAAGAGCAGCCGTGCTGGGGAGCAGAAGTAAAGCGCCACTCAGGTCTCCTCTTCCTATGGCTGGAGCATTCCTTGGGGCTTTTGTCACCTTGTCTGCTCCCTCTCGGCCCCCCCTTCCCCAAAGCTGTCTGTGCTGGAACAAGCATGAGAGACTGAGGCTGGTGGCAGTGAGAAATGGTTGCGAGGAGGTTGGAAGCAACTGTCCAGGCATGGCACATGTGGACAGGCTCCATCTGGGAACACTGTGCAAGGAGGGGAGCTGGCTCAGGGGCTGACGTCACCACCCACTTGGCCAAAGCAGCAAGTGTGTACGAACTGCGGCCTTGTGAGCACCATGGTGGTGGGAGAAACTGGGGAGGGGGTGTGTGTGAAGGAGGAGACCCGGGGGGAGCAGGAGGCTGAGGCTGTGAGCAACTCCTTGGCTTGGATGAAGGAGCAGTGGGACCAGCTGCTGTAGATGGAGCTTTTTGGGGCTGGCACAGCCTCGGCCACGGCAGCCAGTTGAGCACCACAGACCTGCTGGCACTGTGGATAGAGACCCAGCCCTGCTGCCAGCCCTATGTCAGGAGTAAGAGCTGGGAAGGGGGGAGGGATGGCTGCAATCACTGACCTCCCCTTCTCTCTCCTAGGCTGGACCGCGAGTCCCGGCTGGAAGAAGTGCGTTCCGCCTTTCTGGCCAGCTACAGCCGGACCATCGGCCTGAAGGCCGTGCCCCCCAGCCCCTCAGGGGCCATCGGTGGCCTCCTCGAGCAGTTTGCAAGGGGCGTGGGACTGAGAGGCAGCAGCACCCTCTGAACACGGCGTTCCCCGACCACTGCCTGGAAAACCGGGACTGGCGAGTCCTCCCACAGAGTCCTGGGACCCCCTTCTCGGTGCGGGCACCTGCTGCACCCAGTGCCTGCCGCCGGCCCCCCCGCCTGGGGCTGGGGAGGTGCAGGGGCTTCGGCGAGTCTCTGCAGTAAATGACCAGAGCTGTGCCCTTTCCTGCCTCCTCTCTGGGCTGGGGGCAGCGGGCGGCAAGGCCGGGTGGGGGGCGGCGTGGGGGGAGCCGCTCTGCCGGGGGCGCTGCTCACTCTAAATAGCCCGGCCCACGCCCCGGGAGCGGCGGCACCAAAATAACGCCGAGCCGGGACCGGGAGGGTGGGATGGAGGCTGAGACCCTCCGCCTCGGAGTGGGGAGGCTGCAGCCCCGGGCGGGAGCTCCCGGGGGAGCCGGGCCGGGAGTTGTGTCTGAGCCGCCCCCGGTGGCCGAGGGGGCGGTGCCGGCGGGAGAGGGCTGTCGTGCCCAAGATGTGCTTTGCCTGTGCCGAGCCGCCTCGTGCCCGTGCCGTTCCTCTCCGGAGCCGTGCCCGAGCCGAGCCGTGCCCGTGTCTGTGCCGTGCCCGAGCCGAGCCGTGCCGTGCCCGTGCCGTACCCGCCCCCGGGCGCGCCTTCTCGGCGGCGCGGGAGGAGGCGGCGCGGAGCATCGGCGGCGCCCGGGCGGGGATGGCGGCTCCGGGAGCTCTGGAGCCGGCGACCGGCAGCGTGCCGGGTACCAAGGTGGAGCTCACCGTGTCCTGCCGGTGAGCCGGGAGCGGGGCCGGGGAGCGGGCGGGCGGTGACTGGTCTCTGGACAGGGATGGGTGCGAAACGCAACGGGATGTGCTGTGTGGCTGCTCGCCGCGTCCCGCTTCCCGCCGGTCAGCCCCTGGCTCCGGGGCTGTGGGCTGCGGGTCCTGCTCGCTCCCCGGGTAGCTCTGGGTGCCACGGTGTGTGCCCAGCGCTCCTCTGCCCTGCTGCCACACATGGGGACAAATCCTATCCCCTTTGCGGGGGTCCCAGTGGATGCTGGCACCGGGCACGGCTGTGTGGAGGAGCCCCTGCCCTCACCCGGAGCAGGAACGGCCCCGCTCGGGGGGATGTTTGTAGGACGTGGGTGATGCTGGCGGGGCGCGGGGTGCCAGCGGTGGCAGCGGGCGGCTGCCCGGCTCGGCGAGCCCGGTGCAAGGAGACGGAACCAGGAGCCGGGCAGCCTTGGCGATGGCGGGACGGGGGCTGCGGGAGAGGGGCTGCTCGGTACCCCGGCTCCTGGTCGGGGTCCGCGGGGCAAGCGGCCGTGGCTGAGCCGATCTGCCGGCGGCTAAATATAGCTGGAGGCACCGCTGCTCGCGGCCGGGGGTCCCGCCCGCAGGGATCGGCACCAGCAGCCTCCTGGGCGGCTCCTGTGGCACAGAGCTCCCTGCCTGGGTGGCCACTTCTAGCACATCCTGCAAACTTTGGGCTGGGCGAGGGGCTGCCGTACCCTCTCCCTGCGGCTGAGCCCCAGTCCCCGCTGCCAGCCCCACGGACAGCAGGCAGAGGGGCTGCAGGGCCGAGGGACCGGGCAGCTCCGAGCAGGAACCAGGGAATCACACCTGGAGATAGTCCAGGGCAGAGGCAGGCTTCGGCTTCGCAGCCCCACGGCTCAGCCCTGTACAGGGTGGGATCTCCTGGGCGCTGGGGCCAGGGGAGCTGTTTTAGCCCGCAGTCCCTGGCCGTGCCCCCACCCTGTGCTGGCACCTCGGGGGTGCGGGAAGTATCCCAGCAGAGCCGGTCGCAGCCCCCGGCACTTTCCGGCGTCACACCGTGCACAGGACGACGATCAATCGCTCTGCCGGTAGCTGTGTCGGGGGGTGCCCTCCGGCCGCCCGGCCCCTGCTCCAAGTGCCTCCTTTCTTCTACTTCTGCACCCCGCCATTAGCCACGCTCCTGCTGCCGGGGCGCGGCGGGCACTCAGCCGGCGCCGGCGGCACCAGCGAAGGTTTCATCCTGTAAATGGGTTCCCTGTCATGTTCAATCATCATCAGCGCTGGAGACACTGCTCGCCGCTCGCCCCCCTGTCCCGCCGAACCTTGCGGTGGGAGCCAGCGTGTCTCCCTGGAGTGCCGGGGCTCTTAGCCACGGTTGCCAGCACGGCCTTCTGGCATTGTGCTGGCCCATGATCGGGGGTTGGACATGGGGACGGGTAGGTGGCACTCAGGGTGGCTCACACCTGGTTCTGTTCCCCCAGGAACCTGCTGGACATGGACACCTTCTCCAAGTCTGACCCAGGTGAGTGGCAGGGTTGAGCAGGGCGCATGGCATGGCACAGACACGGCACGGCAGCCCGGCTCTGCTCCTCTCTCCGCAGTGGTGGTCCTTTTCGTGCAGGGCTCAGGGAGCAGCGAGTGGAAGGAGGTGAGCATGGCCCCACTCCTGGCTAATCCCCGGCTGGGTTAAACAAGCCCATATGGCCACCCGTGCCCATGTTTATGATCCCTCCTCGTCCACGCTAATGATCCAGCCCCGCCAGCAGCGCTAATCCCCCACCGGGATTAGCGCCGAGGCAGCTGCGATGGGGAGGGGTCCTGGGGGGGGGGCCATGCTCACCCCTCTCCCTGCAGTTTGGGCGCACTGAGGTGATCGACAACACCCTGAACCCCGACTTCGTCCGCAAGTTCGTCCTCGACTACTACTTTGAGGAGAAGCAAAACCTCCGCTTTGATGTGTGAGTAGGGTGGCTGGTAAAGGGCTCGGCTCCACTCAAGCTGTAATAAAGCACCGAGTCATTTATCACCGAGTGATAAATAAGGATAATAAGTAAGGAAAATAAATAAGGATAATAAATAAGGATACAGTGGCAAAAAGCCCAGATGGGTGGGGAAGCAGGGCTGTGTGCTGGGGCACCCCCGCAGTCACCAGCTCAGGGCTCTGCTCTCCCACACCAGCTACAACGTGGACTCCAAGAGCTGCTCTGCCTTAAAGCAGGTGAGCACAGCTTGTGCCAGGAGGGACGTGTGGTGGGACACCCCGAGGTTGTGCCCTGTGTGGGTGCTGTCCCAGGGGGAACAGGTGCTCCTTGGAGGGTTCTAACCCATTTTCCATCTCTCCGTGCTCCATGGGGACTGGCAGAAGGTAAGTGCCCACCACGCACCAGCACCTGCTCTGCCCTGGGAACCCAGCCCTCATGGGGGTGCCTTATGGGGCAGGATGGGACCAGGACACTCCATGGGAGTGTTTTTTGGAGGGCAGGATGGGTGAAGGGTGGCCTAAGAGGTCCACAATGTGTCCAGGGCTGTAGACTGGCCCTGGGAGCATAGAATGAGTGCAAGGCACATGGGGAGTGGACACCTGGGGTGGTCCTGGGGTTGCACAATGAGTCCTGGGCTGGGGGGTGACTCTTGGGGCACAGAGTGGATTCAGGACACTTGAGGTGGCCCTGAGACAAACTGGTGGCAGGTCCCATGGATCAGTTGGAAGGGTGAGGGGTGAATGTGGGTGGTGAGGGACTGTGACAAAACTCTGTGGGGTCTCACAGTGCTGTGTTTGGGGTACAGGACTTCCTGGGGCAGGCATTCGTGGCACTGGGGGAGGTGATTGGGGCCCAGCGGGGACGCCTGGAGAGACCCCTCACGTGAGTCACACCCTGTGGTGGGGTGAGGAGTGGATGCCACACTGTGTGCCCACTACCTGTCCCCTGAGACCCCTCCCTGAACATCCTGCACTCTGGGGACTCTGGTAACACTGACAAGCACCAGCTGTGAGACATAAGCCTCAACCCTGACCCCATCTCTTTCCCCTGGCCTGTCCTCCTTGTCCCCAAGCTGATGGGGTGCCTCTGTCCCCAGGGGGGTCCCTGGGAAGCGATGTGGGACCATCCTGCTGCTGGCTGAGGAGCTGAGCAACTGCCGGGTGAGTGTCCTGGTGAGGAGGGGGCTGCATGGCCCCTCAGCATAGGCAGCTGCTGGTGACTGGGGTGAGAAGGTGGCTGGCAGTGACAGTCCCTGTCCCCAGGACATCATCACAATGCAGCTGTGTGCTAACAAGCTGGACAAGAAGGACTTCTTTGGAAAATCTGACCCCTTCCTCGTCTTCTACCGCAGCAACGAGGATGGCACGTGAGCACAGGGGCCTGGAAGGGTGGGCAGGGTGCTGGTGTCACCAGTAGGTGTGCCTCAACCCTGCCCTGTCCCCACAGCTTCACCATCTGCCATAAGACAGAGGTGGTGAAGAACACACTCAACCCAGTGTGGCAGCCCTTCACCATCCCCGTGCGTGCCCTCTGCAACGGCGACTACGACCGGTATGGGAACAGGGTCAGGGACAGTCATGGGGCCAGAGCAGGGAATGAGCAGTTCTTTGTGGGTTTTGCCCCGTTGCATTGACAGGCAGCTCAGAATTGGGTCCCGACTGATGGGTTTTTTTCTCTTTTGCAACCCAAATTACATAAAATCATCCCTCTCCTCTTCAGAGCCCCTGCCATGACCCAAATTTCCCACTTCCCTCCCGGCAGAGCCGCAGGCCGGGCAGGCAGGGGAGCTCTGCTGGCAGCTGGCGGGCAGGGTGCTTGCTGCGGGCTGGGCTGAGGGTCTGGGTGTCCCCAAATGAGGGGGCAGAGGGGCTGTGCCAGCCAGGCTGACGGCTCACCTGCTGCCCACCTTTGCTTTCAGAACGGTGAAGATAGATGTGTACGACTGGGACCGGGATGGGAGGTGAGGCAGGGGACACTTGGATGCTGTGGGGTGCAGGTGGGGTGCCTGGCCATGCCAACCCCGCATTCCTCCCACAGCCACGACTTCATCGGGGAATTTGCCACAAGCTACCGGGAGCTGTCTCGAGCACAGAGTCAGTTCACAGTGTATGAGGTAGGACTGTGGGTTGGGAGTGGGGGCGGGGGACAGCCCACTCTGGGACCGACCCACCCCTGTGCCCGCAGGTGCTGAATCCCCGGAAGAAATGCAAGAAGAAGAAATATGTGAATTCTGGCACTGTGAGTAGGGCCAGAGCATTCCTGGGGCTCCTGTCTTCAGGGGGCTGGGGATGCTCCATCTGCTGTGCCTGCCGGGGTCAAGGGCAGATGGGTCTGACCACCTGTGCCCGCAGGTGACACTGCTCTCCTTCTCTGTCGAGTCCGAGTTCACCTTCGTTGACTACATCCGGGGCGGGTGAGTGGGGGGCCAGGAGCCCCCCGGATCCTTGAGGCCCCCCGTGGGTGAGGGTCTCAGGGCAAGGATGGTGGTGACAGTGAAGGTGCAGCCTGGGCGTGACAAGGGGGGCTGGGGAGGGGGTGCAGGACGGTGGCACTGGCCTGTGGGGTGCTGGCGGGGGAAGGGGGGGGCCCAGACGATGGGCCCGTGCAGGGGAACACCCACACTGTGGGGCTGGAAGATGGTATCCCCGTGCCGTGGGCCCGGCAGCCTCCCTCGCTCTCCCCTCCAAGGACGCAGCTGAATTTCACCGTCGCCATCGACTTCACGGCCTCCAACGGTGAGTGCAGCCGGTGTCTGGGGGGTCCCCGTCGCTGTGGGGCTGGCCATGGGGCAGGTGTGACAGGCACTGTGCTGCAGGGTTGCCATCACAGCCCACCTCGCTGCACTACGTGAGCCCCTACCAGCTGAGCGCCTACGCCCTGGCGCTGAAGGCAGTGGGGGAGGTCATCCAGGACTACGACAGTGACAAGCTCTTCCCTGCCTATGGCTTCGGTGCCAAAGTCCCACCCGACGGCAAGATTTCCCACCAGTTCCCCCTGGTGCGCCCTCCCTGCAGGGCAGGGCTGACGGTGAACCCAGACCTCCTGGCTGTGGGGCAGGGCTGGCTGTGGGGTGCCCACAGCACTTTGGCAAGAAGGGGAAGAACCCTGGCCACATCCTGCCCCGGCATCCCACAGCCTGGGGGACATCGGGAGCCATAGTTCCCCTCCAAGTGCCCATCCCTGTCCCCCAGAACAACAATGCAGAGAACCCCAGCTGCTGTGGCATCGAGGGTGTGCTGGAGTCCTACCTCCAGAGCCTGCGCACCGTCCAGCTCTACGGTCCTACCAACTTTGCCCCCGTCATCAACCAGGTGGCAGGGTGAGCACCAGGGGACTCTCCCCTTTGCCATCCCCAAATGCCGTCAGTCCCACAGCAGGGACAGTTGCCCCACACTAGTGGGGTGCTGGAGGGACCCCATCCCTTGTCCCCATAGGACAGCTGCCCAGGTGACTGATGGCTCGCAGTACCACGTCCTCCTCATCATCACTGACGGTGTCATCTCCGACATGCTGCAGACCAAGGAGGCCATTGTCACCGTAAGTGCACCATCGTTCTTGTGAGTTCACCCCACATTGGGCACTACTCCAGCTGACATCCTGCCTCTGCTTCACAGGCTTCTGCCTTGCCCATGTCCATCATCATCGTGGGAGTGGGTCCGGCTGAGTTTGAGGGTGAGTTGGGACTTGGGGACACCATGGAAGGGAAATGGAGGCATTGTCCCTTCCTCTGGGACTCCAAAGGCATCCAAAGGGATGGTGTTTCCATCCCTGGTGTTCACCCCACCGAGGCTCGGTGACACCAGCTGTCACCCCCAGCCATGGAGGAGCTGGACGGTGACGAGGTGCGGTTGTCTTCCCGGGGACGGTTCGCCGAGAGGGACATTGTACAGGTAACACTGGCACTGAGCCCAGCCCCCCATGGGTGAGAGATGTTCAGCCCCCCTCACTGATCCCCCACAGCAACAGGGTTGTTTCTAACTGGGCTGCAAACTTCTCGCCTTCAAAGTTTGTGCCATTTCGGGATTACGTGGATGACTCCGGCAACCAGGTGCTGAGCATGGCCCGCCTGGCCAAGGATGTGCTGGCTGAGATCCCCGAGCAGCTGCTCTCCTACATGAAGACCCGTGACATCAAACCCCGCCGGGCAGACCCCGAGTAGCTCCTCCAGGAGCCATGGGATCAGCTGGTGGGGCAAGGATGTGTCAACCTTTCCTCTGCCAGTGGCCAGGGCTTAGCCAAGGAGATGTGGCCCCACAAGGCAAATAATCAGCTGCTGCAGTTGGTGAAAACGGTTGGCGAAACCGGGGCTGTGACCCTCTTCTGGCAGTGAGACCACAGGGCTGGATGTCCGTGGCTGCCTCGATGTCCACCAGCACGCTGGGGCTGGCTCGGACCGTGCAGTCCCATCCCTCGGGCAGGGTGGTTGGGGGTCCACAGTGTGTGTGTGTGCCCCGGGAGGGCAGCCTGGCACCTGTCCCAGGGCAAGGCTGACCCTGAGTGCCTGCCGGGGGTCACAGCCCTGCTGCTCCTTGGGGCAGGGGTCTCACCCTGTTCCTGCCTGCACCCCATTCCTGCCTGCACCTCTCTCCTGCCTGCGCCCCGCTCCCGCGGCCCTGCTGACCCGGCCTGCCCCATGGCCCGCCCCGCCGCCCGGGGTCCCGCAGCCGCGGGGTGCCGGGGCGGAGGGCAGGCGGGTCTGTACGCGTTACCGACTGTAAATAAACTGCTCAACGGGGTCTGCTGCCGTGCTGGGGCGGGGGCACCGCGGGTATCGAGGAGGCCCGAGGGAGCGGGGGGACCGAGGGGTCGGAGGACTCAGGGGAATCGGGGGGAGCGGGGGAGACTGGGGGATACCGTGACGACCAGAGGGGTGCGGGGGCTCGGGGGGGGGGGCCGGGCCGGGGCGGGACCGGGCGGCGGCGGGCTCTGTGATTCGCGGCAGCAGATTCGCCACCGCCGGCGCCGCGCGGCCCAGCCCGGCCCCGCCGCGCCCACGTGGCCTCCCCACCGCGCCGCCACCGCCGCCGCCGCCACCGTGTCCTCCGTCCCGTCGGCCGCCGCCGCCGCTGCCCGGCCGTGCCGTGGCGAAAGTGCGGTTGCTAGGGACGGCGCGGCGCTTTACCCAGCAGCCGCCCCGCGCCAGGCGCCGCCGCAGCTCCATTGTTGGGGCCGGCCCGGGCCCGCCGCCGCCGCCGCCGCTGCCGCCCATGGAGCCGCCCGCCCGCTGAGCGCGGCCCCGCGCCGGGAGCGCCGCCGCAGGCAGGGAGCGGGCAGCGGGGAGCCAGGGCAGGGCGGCCGGGGCCCGGGGAGGGGGCGGCGGGGCGGGGGGCCCGGCCCGGCCCGGCCCGGCCTCGGCCCCCCGCGGCCCCGCCATGGGCGTAGACTTCGACGTGAAGACCTTCTGCCACAACCTGCGGGCCACCAAGCCGCCCTACGAGTGCCCGGTGGGCACCTGCCGCAAGATCTACAAGAGCTACAGCGGGATCGAGTACCACCTCTACCACTATGACCACGACAACCCGCCCCCGCCCCAGCACACCCCCCTGCGGAAGCACAAGAAGAAGGGGCGCCAGGCCCGCTCCGCCAACAAGCAGTCGCCCAGCCCCTCCGAGACCTCCCAGTCGCCCGGCCGAGAGGTGATGACCTACGCCCAGGCCCAGCGCATGGTGGAGGTGGACCTGCACGGCCGCGTCCACCGCATCAGCATCTTCGATAACCTCGACGTGGTGTCCGAAGACGAGGACGTTCCCGAAGAGGTGCCCGAGAACGGGAGCAATAAGGAGAACACGGAGACGCAGAGCGTCCCTCCCAAATCTGGCAAGCACAAGAACAAGGAGAAGCGCAAGGACTCCAACCACCATCACCACAATGCCTCGGCCAGCACCACCCCCAAGCTGCCCGAGGTGGTGTACCGAGAGCTGGAGCAGGACACCCCCGACGCCCCGCCTCGCCCCACCTCGTACTACAGGTATTGCCCGTGGCTAGGTGTGAGGAGGTTCCCAGGTTTGTGCCCTGGGTCTGGAGGTGGAATTGGCCTGGCTCAGTGGAGGGGGCTTGCCCGTGGCCTCTGATGGCCTCTCCCAGGTCGTGTGGAGCTTGCTGTCCCATGGCTTCAGGCTTTTGGGGCTCTGCCTGGCATCACCTCCCAGTTCTGAGGGGTCTGTGTGTCTACAGAGCTCTCAGTTGCTCCTTAGGTCACTGCCAGCAGTTTGATTGCTGCCGTCTTTCCTTGCTGAAACAGCATGTACGGTCATAACAAAACCCATATGTGTCCTTCTGCCTCCCGTTCTACTCTTTGGAGCTATGCTGGGGAAGCTCCAGAGCCCGTCAGCACCAATGTGTACCTGTACATCTGTTTGTGGGCTTAATTTTTGTCCTACAGTTTTCTGTGAGAGGTTTGGTCAGTGCAGTTGCCTGAGGTAGTACCTCAAGCAGGAGTTAACACAGCTCCCCTCTCCAGAATTAACAAAATGTGGTGCGTCCTTGACTGGTTATCATGTCTTGGTCATGAGACTATTGTCTCCAGAAGCACTGGCACCTTCTGGGTGGCTTGTATAGGCCCCTGCCTTGCGCTGACAAGTCTCCAAGGCCTGACCTTGCTCCTTAGACCAGTGTTGTTTTGTCTACGAGGTGCTGCTGCGCTGCTCAGGGTGCAGCAGCACTTCCGCACATTCCTGCCTTGTCCTTGTTTCTTTATTTTTACTTACGGCTTGGCTGAAATGTTAAAATGTTCCCTCAGCCACAGCCAAACCCTGGAGTTGGGCTTCAGCAGCTCCAGCTGTGCAGAACATGCCCTCACTCTCCCATGCTGTCCTTCCAGGTACATAGAGAAGTCAGCAGAGGAGCTGGATGAGGAGGTGGAGTACGACATGGATGAGGAGGATTACATCTGGCTGGACATCATGAATGAGCGGCGGAAGAATGAAGGTGTGAGTCCTATTCCCCAGGAGATCTTTGAGTACCTGATGGACCGGCTGGAAAAGGAGTCGTACTTCGAGAGCCACAACAAGGGGGACCCGAACGCCTTGGTGGACGAGGACGCCGTCTGCTGCATCTGCAACGATGGGGAGTGTCAGAACAGCAACGTCATCCTCTTCTGCGACATGTGCAACCTGGCTGTGCACCAGGAGTGCTACGGGGTGCCCTACATCCCCGAGGGACAGTGGCTCTGCAGACGGTGCCTGCAGTCACCCTCGCGTGCTGTGGACTGTGCCCTCTGCCCAAACAAGGGGGGGGCCTTCAAGCAGACGGACGATGGGCGCTGGGCACACGTGGTCTGTGCCCTATGGATCCCAGAGGTGTGTTTTGCCAACACCGTCTTCCTGGAGCCCATTGACAGCATCGAGCACATCCCGCCTGCGCGCTGGAAGCTGACCTGTTACATTTGCAAGCAGCGCGGCTCCGGGGCTTGCATCCAGTGTCACAAAGCCAACTGCTACACTGCCTTCCACGTCACCTGCGCCCAGCAGGCCGGGCTGTACATGAAGATGGAGCCCGTCCGGGAGACAGGTGCCAACGGTACCTCCTTCAGCGTGCGCAAAACCGCCTACTGCGACATCCACACGCCGCCGGGCTCTGTGCGCAGGCTTCCCGCCCTCTCGCACAGTGAGGGGGAAGAGGAGGAGGAGGAGGAGGAAGAGGAGGGAAAGGGCTGGAGCTCTGAGAAAGTCAAAAAAGCCAAGGCCAAGTCTAGGATCAAGATGAAGAAGGCACGGAAGATTCTGGCAGAAAAACGGGCCGCAGCGCCTGTGGTTTCCGTGCCCTGCATCCCCCCTCACAGGTACGACCCACTGCCTTCCCTAGACTGGGGAGAGATTTCTCCTTTCCTCTGTGCCTCCTGTCCCACTTTCCAAGTGTGCATTACCCTGTTCCTCTCCTTAGCTTTTTGCACAGGTGTTTCTCACTTCATTGTCACAGAGGGCTGTGGTGGTTTCTTCTGGGAGTCCTGCAGAGAGGCAGGGCTGTGCGATGCGCTACCCTGTAAAGGTGTCTGGGCCCTTGGTGGGGCAGGAAATAGCTGCTGTTAGTTTAACAGCAGAGAATGAACTTGGCCAGATGTGTCCGGAAGCAGCTGGAGGTTCCCAGCACTCCTTTCCTGTTGTGCTGACCTCAGGCACTGGAGTAAATCAGGCAGGGAGGAGGGGACTGCTCTCCTTTCTGCTGAGGTCCGTCTTTTCCTGAGGCTGTGCCAGGCAAATGACAGAAGTGTGGGAGCAACTCAGGCCTGGGAAATGGGACACCCCGTGGAGAGGTCTGGGATTGGGATCCCTGTGCCCTGCTGAACACAGTTCATGCATCCCAGCGGCCGTGTACCCCTTGCTGGGCTTCCTCAGTGTTTTGTGCCAGGTGCAGCAACAGCTGTGTCTGCTCAGGCTGCCTATCAGAGCAGGACTGGGCAGCTGTGAATGCCGAAAGCCTCTGCACGGCTGCCTGCGAGGAGAGGTGGCTGGAGAGCACCAGGACTCCTGCCTGCCAAGGGGCACAGCGGTCCCAAGGCTGGCTTCACAGCACAAGAGCTGTTGGAAAAGTACTTGAAGCCTTGCCAGAGATTGTGTTTCTGTCACATCACAACCCTGCGGGTTCACAGGGGTGCAAACACCCTGTAGTCACAGGCATAACTGCTGTGTGTCTTGCTCTGGTTGGATTGTTGGGCTGGCATACAAATCCTGAAACGAGCATTTAAGAGCCTTGCTGTAATTTGTCAGTGAAGGTTATAATTCTGAGTGTCCTCAGCAGCATGTAAGGGCATCTTAGGGTGTTTCTGGATCTCATTGTCACCCTGCAGCAGGCATCACACAGTTGAAGCGCAGGTTTGGCACAGAAGCGTTTGTCATCGTGGTGGTAAGCCGCCTCCTGAGCTGCTGAACAATCCTCCTCCCTGTGGCAGGAGCTGAGCCACCCCCTGAGCTGCTGAGCTCTCCTCCTCTCCACAGGACACCATCCAGCTCTTGGACCCTCAAGACTGTCTCCTGTGCAGCCAGCGGGGAGCACACGTGGGCTGTGCTGTCTGGGCAGTGTTCTGGTGACCTGTGGAGGCAGGTCTGCTGCAAGGCTGCTGGCTTTTTGCCACGGTCTGTTTGTGTCCCAGCCTTATGTTTTTGCTCACTCGGGGCTTGCTCCATAGCCAGGGTCTCTTTTTCTACTTGTGGACGCATTGGCAGGCAGTTTGTAGACTCTTGCTGCTGTCGAGCTCACAGTGAAACCCACACTGAGCTAGAAGCTGTTAACCTCTCCCCAGGCCTTCCTGTTGGGATTAATTATTCTTCAAGGGCTGTTGCCAGAATGCCAGATGTCTTCCTGTGGGAGCTTGGCCAGTGATGGCACATGAGGCTGCCATCCCCAGCCTCTTCAGCTGAGGCTGATGCAGGTTGGGTCATCCCATGGGATGAGCTGTCCCTGTGAGACAGGGAGATG